TCCATGTCTCTCTCCCTTTTGCAAACCTTCCTTGCCCTTCCACAGCCTCATCTAGTGTCACTGTCTCTCCAAAGCCTTCCGAAAATCTACTCTGACTCACCGCCATCCCTCCTGTCCTCACGCAGCTCCCCCATTATTAGTGCTTCTTTGTTGAATACTTGCTCAGGGGTCACAGCTATTCTCTCTATATGTTACCTGATTCAATGCTCAAAATAATTCAGTGATGCACGCAGATATTTTTAAGCCGACTCTACAGAAGAGGAACTTGTCCTTCAGAGAAGTTTTGTTACTTGTCCATGTGGCAGGGATTGCTCAGGTCTACCTGATCAGAGAGGCTGTGTTCTTTTTTTCTTTTTTTTAAATTCACTTTTTGATCATTATTTCTATTGTTATAACATTATGGTTGAAGAATATGGGCAATTAAATTTCCACTTCGGGAAATACGTTGAGGCTTTTTTATTGAAATACAGTTGATTTACAATTTTGTGTTAGTTTCAGGTGTATAACAAACTGATTCAGTTATATATATGTATTTTTTTCAGATTATTTTCCATTATAGGTTATTACCAGGTATTGAATATTGTTCCCTGTGTTAATGGTTAGTCCTCATTGCTTATCTATTATATATATATGTAAGTATGTATCTGTTAATCTGTAACAGTATGTATCTGTTAATCCCATACTCCTAATTCATCTCTCCCCCCTCCCTTTCCCCTTTGGTAACCATAAGTTTTGTCTTCTATGTCTTAATTCCTGCAGACCTAGTCTCAAGCAAACCCTGGTCTAGTTGGAGAGGACACCTTGAAGAAATTCTCTGGTCTGGGTGATCCACACCAGAGCTTTTGGGTTCTGTATCGTCCCAGGAGATCCACTGGCGTCTGTGTTCTTCTGCTAGGGAAGTGTACAACTTGGAGTCCTAACTCAGTTTGGGAGCTCAGTGGGGTGAGGAAAGGCTTTCTGAGGAAGTCACATTGAAGGAGCTCAGCAGGGGTTGGGTAGGGGTGGGGAGGTAACGGCATCTGTGAAGGCCCAGCATCAGGGAAGAGCTTCGGTTGGTTGGAGACAGAGAGAAGGGCCCCAGGACTGGAGTGCCATAGGGGCTGGGGGGCAAGGTGCCCCTGGAGGCTGGAGCCTGCCATGCCTGCTTTCTGTGTCTAGAGCAAGCGGGGAGTTGGGGTGGGTAAAGTAACCAGAGTTAGGTTTCAAAAGCTACATCTTCACAAAGTGTGGCTTAAAAGAAGGAAACCCTCGCTGACTGGCTTCTCTTTAGCTTCCTGACCCCTTAACAACACCCTGGGAACCTCTAATGCCCCCACCCCATCCTCCCTCCTGGTCTCCTGAGCTGCACTGGCCCCACCCACTCTCAGCAGGTGACTTTCTCTATTCACTGAGAAGCAGTCAGAAGCGACCGGCCATCATCAAAAAATCTAGAAACAATAAATGCTGGAGAAGGTGTGGAGAAAAGGGAACCCTCTTGCACTGCTGGTGGGAATGTGAATTGGTACAGCCACTATGGAGAACAGTATGGAGGTTCCTTAAAAACTACAAATAGAACTACCATATGACCCAGCAATCCCACTACTGGGCATATACCCTGAGAAAACCATAATTCAAAAAGAGTCATGTACCAAAATGTTCATTGCAGCTCTATTTACAATAGCCCGGAGATGGAAACAACCTAAGTGTCCATCATCAAATGAATGGATAAAGAAGATGTGGCACATATATACAATGCAATATTACTCAACCATAAAATGAAACGAAATTGAGCTATTTGTAATGAGATGGATGGACCTAGAGTCTATCATACAGAGTGAAGTAAGTCAGAAAGAGAAAGACAAATACCGTATGCTAACACATATATATGGAATTTAAGAAAAAAAATGTCATGAAGAACCTAGGGGTAAGACAGGAATAAAGACACAGACCTACTAGAGAATGGACTTGAGGATATGGGGATGGGGAAGGGTAAGCTGTGACAAAGTGAGAGAATGACATGGACATACATACACTACAAAACATAAAATAGATAGCTAGGGGGAAGCAGCCGTATAGCACAGGGAGATCAGCTCGGTGCTTTGTGAGCACCTAGAGGGGTGGGATAGGGAGGGTGGGAGGGAGGGAGACGCAAGAGGGAAAAGATATTGGATCATATGTATATGTATAACTGATTCACTTTGTTATAAAGCAGAAACTAACACACCATTGTAAAGCAATTATATTCCAATAAAGATGTAAAAAAAAGAAGCGACCGTCCACACGTAGTCGCTGTCAGCAAATCCACCAGCCCTCCTCCCCTAAAGCTATGTCCTCCACCTTCCTTCCGTGAAGGCTGGAGCACCTGCCACACCAGCTCGTGCCTGGGATTCCTCTCACCTACATGCGAGCTCTTCCGCTCCAGCAATTTCCCCTTCCCTGCATTATCAGTTGTTGCCTGTCCACTGGGTTACCCTGTCATCCTACAAACATATTATACAGGTCTCTGCTCAATATCATGTCCTCAGTTCCTTTTGACAAAAAAGGCTCTTCCAAAAAAAGTCAACCAACTTACTGAAGCCACCTTCTCTTCTCACATACTCTCATCAACCTACTGGCAGCCTGCTTTGTCCTGGACATTCCTCTAAAACTTCTCTTGCCAACTGCACCAGTAACTCCCAAGTGGCCCTCCCTCTGGTGTCAGGGGTCTCTCTGCCCAGTTCTCTTTGCAGGAGCTCTCCTCATCTTTTTGATCTCTCTACACACATGCCCCATGGTGGAACCCTTTCCTTCTGTGTCCGCAGACACTCTCTACATGATCTCATTTATCCTCTTGGCTTTAAATCTAACTATATGTGAAAGGCTCCCATATTTATGTCTCCAGGGTTGACCCCTTGCCTGAATACCAGATAGTTATACCCAATTAGCTACTCGATGTCTCCTCTTGGGGATCTAATAGGCATCTCAAACTTAACACCTCTAAAACCAAATTCTTTCTTCACGCCTTTTCCCCCAAACCAAATCTATTTCACCCCTAGTTCTCCCTTTGCTATACACGGCAATGCTGTCCTTTCTCTGGTCAGTTACTCAAGCCAAGATTCCTGAAATCATCTTAGACCCCTCTCTGGTAAACCCCACATCCAACTCATCGGTTAACGCCATTGCTTATGCTTTCAAACTACACCAAGAATCCAACTTCCTTTTTTCTTTGCTGCTTTTGTTACTACTCTCCTGGTTAAAGTCATCATAACTGGTCTCCATCTTTCTATCCTTGCTTTCTCACAATTTATTCTCAATGCAGAAGCCAGATTGAGCCTTTAAAATGTCATGCCTGATCAAGTCGCTCAGTGACCTTGAATAAGTTAAAAATAAAATTCACAGTCCAAAAAGTCCTATCTTGTCCTACAGGGCCATGGGTGACCTGGCCTCCTCCTACCCTCTGAACTTCTCTCCTGCTCTGCCTCCCTCACTCTTGCATCCCAGCCCTAATGGCATCCTTGCTGCTCCTGGAACAGGCCAAGGGCTTTTCTGCCTCAGGGTATTTGCACCTGCTCTCCCTTCTGTCTGGAAATTGTTTGCCCCAGGAAGTCTCTTGGCTTGATCTTCCACTTGCCTTAGGTCTCTGTTGAAATGTCACAGATGCTCCTAGTGCTAGGAAACCTCGAGAGAGGCGATGCAGGGGGCATCTGGGAAAAGCTACTGGATTATTTGTTGAACCACTACTTTGAGCAGGGGGCATCTGGGAAAAGCTACTGGATTATTTGTTGAACCACTACTTTGAGTACTTACGGCATGACAGACACTTCCAAGCAACACCTCATGGATTACAAAACTGCATCCCCTCCACAGCCTCAGGAAGCAGGTAGGAATAGCTAACACTTAGTGAGTGCTTACCATGTGCCAGGCTAAACACTTTGTAAATATGAGCTCATTTAATCCTCATAACAGCCCCATGAAGCGAGTACTGCTATGGTGTCCATTTCACATCTGAAGCACAGAGAGGTCAAGTAACTTACCCCACATCACCCAGCCAGAGCTCAGTTTGAACCCATAGCTTAATCTGATGCCGACGGAGAGAAGGCATTAGGCTTAAGTAGAGCCTTTACAGGGGGCTGAGCAGGTATTCCTCAACGTTATAAGTAGAGGTAGAGCTTTCCTTTGCGGGCAGAAGGCATTGCATGTACACAGGTACGGAGGCAGACAGTCGCCTTGACACTGTCCAGGGAGCAGGTGTGGGTAAAGTGTAAAGTGCGGCTTGATAAAGGGAGCCGACTGAGGAGTATAAGGCTGTACTCTGTGTGTTCTTTTTTTTTTTTTTTTTTTTTTTT